ACACACACACACACACACACACACACACACACACACACACACACACACACATTTTTTTTTTAAATGGCAGTTTTATTGCATTTGGGTAAGTGTGCAGTGCTATGTGGCCCTCAATGTCAACAAAAAACTGTGCCCCCTTACATAATTTAAGTTACCCATCGTTGTTCCATAACTACCATGGTTGGCGTTTAATTTTCTGCGCTACTGTGTTACAGTAACCCAACTGGCACAATAATCTAATAAAGTGGTATTTAAGCTTTTTTATTTAAAGATGTCATAAAAACTATAAAAAAAAAACAAAAAAAAACAATGTTTTTTTTTAATAATTAGTGGTCAAAGTATGTTAAGAAAAATGCACCTTCAGTATGACTCATCAGTGATTCGATACAAATTTACCATTATGCATAGAAAAGATCAGTAAAATAGAAAAATTTGAAAGAAAGAAAAATGTCATTTTGAAAAAAATACAAAAATAAATACAAATAATAGCTTATTTAAGGTGATTGTAGTCACTTTGGAAGAATAACATGCATGAAAAAAACCTGAAATAAACAGTGTTTCATGTATTTTGTTCAGATAAATGAGACAGACCTAGAACGTGATGTATTTATGGTCACATTCATTACCCTGGTATAGGCTAAAAGCTGACTTATTTGCTCTTTGAAAAACAACTTTATAATTCTATTTTAGAAAATATTAGTTTTTAATGCACAATATTTGCATACAAACATGTATATGAACTACTACAGGCAAAACAAATGGGTTGATATATTAACATTAATGTGCTACAATGACTAAAACAATTTCACAATACAAGTGTGTGTGTGTGTGTGTGTGTGTGTGTGTGTGTGTGTGTGTGTGTGTGTACTTTTGTGAGTCACTTTACCTGGCAGAATGTCCATTGTGTTCCACCTGGGAATGTTCTTTTCTGGCTCCATCATTATATGATCCGTCCAACTCCGAATCATGAATGAACTGCCCACATTCTGAGTTTGGATGTATAACAGAGGGTGAAATAAGAAACGAGAGCTTCACACTATTTATAGAATAAAAACAACATTTCGGTCCTTTTTGTTAAAGACGAAACTTTAAAGGTGGCCTATTATGGGGGTCTTAGCACAAGTTAGGATCCATCTGGGGGCTGTACAAAACATGTTCATTTGATTTACTTCACAAAAAGAATCTCAAATAATGAAATTTCACCTTTTCACTTCTTCCTGTTCTTCAGCTCTCTCCAGAACGTGCTGTATGCAGAAGTTGCTAAGGAAACCCCACTCCCCTATCCCCGCATCCATTTGTTTACTTTAGCTCCGCCCCCCGACATGATAGAAGTTTCCAAATTGAAATTATTTTCACAAACTACAGCTTTCTTTGGCAATATTATTAGAGAATTGTCATCAAAGATAAAAATAAAATTAATCCAGGCATCTCTGCTCTCCATGGCTGCTGTAAAAACAGCACAACTATCGTCCCTTGAGGAAGTGGGCGGAGCTTCACCTTTCCAGATACCTAAAAATACATGTAATTACAGCTAAAAAATGGCTGGGTGCTTTTTTTGGTGTTTGGACTGCTTCTCTAAGCAGTAGAAACCCAAAAGAAAGTTTAAAAACATGAAAAAAGTGAGTTTTGCTTAATAGGTGCGCTTTAACAGAACAAAAACAGTCAAACAATGCAGAAGCACTGTTAAATGCTGACAAGGAAGCTTTTTATTGAAAGCAAATGTRGGTTATAATCCAACTGGCATTCGTTTAGTGGAGGAATATATTCCTTAAAGAGTACTAAGGAAATTGCTAAAGCTGGAAATTGTTAAAACTTCCTCATCTGGAAGTGCCTCGTGCTTCCTTTAGACATTGGGCATAGCTTCAAATACGTAAAACTGCGCACCAAATAAAGAGAAGCAGGTGGATGGGAAATTTGACAGTTTCACAAAAAAAGCTTCAAACTAAATACAATTGTACAAGAGATAAAACTTGGTTTCCTCTTGGACCTTTTGCCTCTGCAACTCAACCATGGATAAGCATCAGAAAACCAATAGATTGAACAGAGGATGAGTAATCTGACAACAAACATCTGATGTACCAAGGCCTCAACATTTAACCACATCAAAAATGCATTGACTAACTTCTTCATATTAATGCAATGAGATTTTCCAGTGGTTAGTGAGTCATAATAGGAAAACATCAGATAAAATACCAAGGCTGTGGCGCAGAGAATCAACAGTGCTGGGACGACTGCCGGAGCGTGTAGGAGGTCTTGAGTTGTACTGGGACGGAATCAGGCTTCTTTCCTCACTCTTCTGTCCGCTCAGCAGGTAATCCCTGTTTCTGCTGCTCTCACAGCTGTGACTGCTGACTCGATGCTCACTGTGGATAGCAAAATTACCAACAATACAATGTCGCTCAGGCTGTTTTTAAATGTTCATATTGACAATTAGCACAACTTGTAAAGCATTAAAAAACCAGACAATATTAAGAAGTGTTGTGAAAGAGAACTCAAGTTTGAACCTACGAACTAAGACTTCATGACTTACCCTGTGCTCATGTTCCGATGAGAACTAGGGGTGACCGGACGCTGTAAGGGCTCATCAACATTAGGCTGCGGTAGAGGGGTCGACTTCTTTTTCACTTTTGGCATGTTGGTCATAATCTACCACACACAGATAATGACAGAACAATTTTCTAGTTGCTGAATCTATACACATTTAATAGCAGTGTCTTGGATTAGACACACGTTCGGGGCGCCAAGCATAAAATAAAATTTCCACTAACATTTTAGTACTTAGCTCACCGTTCTTACATTTTGCTAATGTTTATTAAAGGAAGAGTGTATAGGATTTTGTCAATTCTTTTAGCCGAAATTGAGATAATCACTAATGACAATAATAAAAACCATGTCTAATCATTGCAGACAAAGACCTTGTTTTATTATTTTTACCTTACAAAAAGCTGTTTATATCTCCATGGTCGCGGGTCGCCGCTATAGGCAGCCGCCATCTTGCACCGCCATCTTGTCTACGAAGGCTCATGAAGGACAAACTGCGGTGGCGGCGTCAAAAACGGTTTTAGTTGTAATACTATAAATGTAATATTTGTTGTCTGTCATTGTAGCTGGGATAATTTTACTTATTAAAGCTCATAATCTTACCACTTGAAACATCACTAGCCCTGAAGCTGCTGGTAGACATCGCGGTTGGAATTATCAAAGGTTTTTGACACCTGAGAGACACCGTAGCAACTCCTTTGCGTTTGGAAGCGGGGGGTGGGGGTGGGGGGAGGACCAGGGAGGATGATTCAACCACTCAACCACTAAATGTCGCTGAAAACAACAAATCCTACACATTGTGCCTTTAAATGTTTTAGTTAAATGTTAAACAATGTGTGTTCATATAAAACCCTAATAAATATGTAAATCTGAATGGAAAAGTGAATAAGTTCAGATTTTAATAAAGCTTTCCTACAAGACATCAAACTTGCGGCCGGTGTCCGACCACAATTACCATCCATATTGTTTTTATTTCACACATTTTGAATTTTGATCTTAAATGCTATTAGTCACAGGCTGACATCATCCTGGTTAATTAACACTAACCGATTTAATATTTAGACACATTATTTAACATTCAAATTTAATGTTTATTAAAAATTAGCTAAATGTAAGAACAGTAAGCTATAAAACAATAAAATTTTAGTAGAAAAACTTTAGAATTTTACATTCAGAAAGTGAGCTAAATAATGAAAATGTGTTAGTGACATTTAACGTTTTATTTTACACTTGACACCGCACAGAATAGAGAACACATTATCATCATCACACCCCAGTGGATTCAGTAGTTTTGCAGCTACTAAGTAATTAACTTGTTAATTAACAATTTATTTTTTAATTAATACGTTAATTATTCTTGACAGATATTCCTTCTGTTAATTAACTCAATCTGGAAAAAAAAAACTCAACCTAGTTGTCAGAGTTTTTAAATGTATCTGTGCTTATAGATGTTTGTTTTTATCAGTGTTGTTAGCAAACCATGTTACAGTTTAAAGTGAACATTAGATTTTGGACCTGTTCAAGACCCGTTTCACAAATGTATCTTATTTGGATGCTGAGCCTATAGAAGCAAAGGTAATGAAATCTCAAAATACAAGCATGAGGGAGGAACCCGAAATCCCTGGAGCATGCAAATATTTACACAGGTTAAAGTCAAAATTTTTTTTAATGTGTCTAGTTTTGTAATTCCTTTGTTCTCTGAATATGCATGCAGATGCTGTGGTCTTACACCAAGATACTCAGTGGTGAGCAGAGTCTCCCCAGACAGTTCCCTCTGTTGGGGATGAAGAACTTCCTCTTTATCAATATCCATTTCCATTAAATCCTCCTGTCACACAATGAGAATGAATCAGCAGAAAAAAAGAGAATGAATCAGCAGAAATTACACATTTTTGTTTGGAGAATTAACATAAACAATGTTACTTGTGCAACAGCTAGAAGAACATTCCAACACTGAGCATCATCATCCCAGAGAATTGTTTGTTATTTTACCTCGACTTTATCAGTTAATGGATAGAAACCAAACTAAATGAAGCCACACACACATCAGTGACACATCCAGTCTTGATAAGCCATTTTCCCACAGCACGCAACGTTTCAAGTCCAGGAGCTTCTCATAAACACATGCAACTCATACAGCTGGGAGACACTAAATATCTGTGTCATGTCAAGATAGCCATCTACAATACATAACAGAAAATAACCCGTGTTGTTCCGCTTCTAAATTTTCATCCTTCTTACGTATTATTCTTACTTTTTTATTTTATAATATATATTTTGTAGTTTTATGGAATTAATAGCGAGGTGGACAAATAATTCGTTGTCATATAAATGTTTAAAAGGTGTCAAGAAACCCAGCTGAAGGAGCAGCTGAACGAGTTGGAAACAGGCCTTCAGACCCCACACCTGACCCCCAGGAAAGGAGTAACATAGATCGGGACAAAGCCCACAGACGTAGGTAAACTGGGGGAGGAGCCACAAGACCAAACAAAGGCTTTCGGGAGGCTTACGTCATTGTCATCCTCTTCTTCTTCATCATCTGACTCTGGTCCCTCTTCCTCCTCACCTGTGTGGAAAACGCTGATAAATGAGTCACCTTTCCACTGAAGTACAAGTCTAAAGACATATGGTATAACGTATGACGTGGAAGCAGTGTTTTAGAAACGAGGTTTCTGGAAAAACAATACATGGAATTAAAGTGACATGCATGTCCTTCAAATACAAAAATTCAGAGAAAACATCTTTATATTTAAGAAACTTGGCATAATACCCATGCTTTTACTCGTTTGGTCAAATAACTGTTGCATTTCTTTTGGATTTGTCTCAGTCAAATGAAACAGGAAGTGACATCAAAGGGGAACTTTTTWAAAAAAATGAACTCTATGGTCTTTGTTAATTGAAACATTATTTGAACTCTGACTGTTCTTCATCTCTCTGATAGAGACTCAAAATAATCTAAGAAAACCTCCGATTCTTCTCTACAGTCTGTCATTAGCTGTTGTAACGAAATTCTGTTCACATGCAGACATTCCCCTTTGACATCACTTCCTGTTACTTCCCATGCAAATATCTCAACAATTGCTCATCTCAGTGG